ACAAGATTCCTCTGCCCCTCCAAGATGACAATCTCTGCTTAGTGGTTCCTTGCTTCTGGTTTGTGATAAAGCCAGTTGCTTGACTATATTCAGCCATTTCTCCTGGTTCTGTAGGACCTGTTTCCAGTTCCTCTGCACAGGAAGGCACTTGCACAAAAAGAGTATTTGGCTCTGAGAAGGAACCTTCCTGGAAGCTCAAGAGAGTCAGGGATTAGAGTGGGGAGGACTAATTGCAGACCAAAGACCAGTGTCTCCTATACCCGATCACAGCTGGGAGAATCCATTGGCCCCTTTGGTCCAGGACTGACCCTCATGTCCTCCGGATCATCCACTTTAACTGCATTTTCTTTCATTCTATCCAAGATTAGAAATGGATAACATATTTTGAGGCTGTACAACTAAGTCTTTATAGAGGGTGCTCTGCAGGATGACCAGCAGGTGTTACAGTTCAAGGAATGAAACAGCACATTGAATACTGTTTCCATCTTCCAGCTTCCACCAGTTATCAAGAAGCTAAGGCAGGTACATGCCCCCCAAAGCAAAGGACAATAAGGAGAGTAATAGGACCCAAGTATGGCTGATTTCCATCCTATTAACGTTTCTGCTCCTAAAGGTAAGACAAGTTCCAGACAGGAAAAATCAGTCTTGAGGGAAGGTCAGACAGAACAGTATATCTCATCCACGTGACAGAAGATGGACATAATTGGGTGGCACCGTTGCAATTTCAAAAATGTGACTTAGATGGATAAACCTTGAATGCTGTACAGGTCAAGCAACAAGGTTGACAGTCCAGGTATTTGGTCCTGGTTGCCATGTGCTGGGTGTAGGGGGAGGGAGTCAAGAGGTCAGCTGGATCTAGGGTGAGAGTTGTGAGGATGAGAAAGAAGCCTAATAGTTAGTTCACTTAGTACACCCCTTCTCATGCAGGCTCTGCCCGCCTGGGTCAAACTTCTGTGAGCATCCTTTTCTCTGCAAATGCCCGATGTGGAGTGGGAAAGTAGCTGGGCCTCCGTTCCCGGGGGGCCTCAGAGAAGTCCAGCTTGCCAAGTCCATTGTCAGTTGCCTTCAGGTCTGGTGTAGGCTGCCCACAAGTGACATGGGTATACTGGCCTTGCTCCTCATGCTCTGTCTCCCGGTGGTAGAAGTAGTTGAAGTTGGAAACGATGACCGGCACAGGCAGGGCAATGGTGAGGACCCCAGCAATGGCACACAGAGAGCCCACGATCTTGCCCCCCACAGTCATGGGGTACATGTCTCCATAACCCACTGTGGTCATTGTAACCACTGCCCACCAGAAGGCATCTGGGATGCT